GGACTTTGATTACAAAAATCAATGAAGCATTGCAGGTCCACAATTAGACAAGTAAATAAACATGTCATCTACCAAGGTCGCTCGCTTGCAACAGGCTTCCATCCCTTCAGGTTTCATCACGATTCAGACAGTGACGCGGCGGTTGTGGTTTTAGGACAAATTGAAGCTCAAATCTTTGTTTGTATTGTCAGAACGAACATGTTGACATGACATGACACTGACATGTGTGTGTTTGTGTGTGTGTGTGTGTGTGTGTGTGTGTGTGTGTGTGTGTGTCGTGCTGCTCGCCTGGCTTTGGCATTGATCTTGCTGTCAGACCCGTTCAGATACATCAGCTGGACTTTAATATGGATCAATGCAAAATGAGATGTAGGATGTAAACTGTGACGTGGAAAATATATCGTATGACGGGGGAGAAGAAAATTACTGGCTCCATGTAGGCAAGCAGGTGTTAATGGAATCAATTTTTTGACCTAAAATGAAAAAAAAATAATATGTGTTGTGTAAATAAATCACATTTTTATATCAGCAAAAACCCAAAAGATTAACTCAACAAAACTTTTACTGTATCACATTCAGTTAGATTTTTTTTAGGTTATATTTAAGTTGTAGAAAACATATGAGAATGGCAGTTCCTCATTTCAATCAGGGTTATGTATTTGACTCTTTTGTGGATCTGAGCAGTTGCCTGACAGCCAGTGGAGGCTCCAGGATGTTACTTGTCCCAGCCAAGCGACAACAAGATATACAACCTCCTATGAAATGATGTATTCTTGCTTATGTACTTTATAAATTAAAGAAGTGAAATATAATCTGTTAATTAGTTGAGTGGTGGATTAAAAGTAAGATAACTCATCGCCACTCTTCACTCTTAGCCAGCAGATGTTTAAGTGTGTTTACCTAAACAGGTCAAGCTTATTGCTTTAACTACAGGAGTGTAGATGCACATTGAACATTTTTAGAAATGTAAATATGATCACTAGTTTTTTTGGGGGAGAGTCATAATCCTTATCTGCCATATCTGCTAATAGCTGGACACATACAGATGGACTGAGCAGATGGCTGCTGTGTACGTTTCTGTATGTAGGAATTAAACGAACAAGGAAACGTGTCAGTATATTTTTAACTTAGCTAAGTTATATGTAGTTTCTCACCCTCTGTCAAACGAGGCTAAAAATGTCCCGGCTTCAGCATCAGCAACAGCTATGAGTGGTCTTAATCTACACAGTTCTCAGAAAGAATGCGTGTTTCCCAAAATAGTGTATTTCCCCACATAGCAAAAATGATCAAAACAACTATACACAGTTAAAATAAGTTAAATTAATGACTATAACATACTGGATGCAATACAAATATGGCATTTTCCTACACTGGATAAATTATCTACGTTTTGACTTTAGTTTTTAGACGTCCTGAAAGCATTAAAACGTTCTTGTCTGTAATTTCTCAGCATAATCTGCTCACTCGAAACACCTGAAGCTGTGCCAGATTTTTAAGTTTCCTCAATTTGTCACATCTTTAAAGAGATTAACAGACTCCAGCTGCACACAGTGGGTGACTCTGTGCAATAAACAGGACATTTCATTACAGAATTAACATTGACATTGTTAAGCATGCGTACAGCTGCCAACAAGCGGTTTGGTTTAGTTTGGAACCCTTATTGAGTGGTGTCTATTACTTACGTTTGTGCTAAACAGTTCCCGGCACTGGAGCAGCTCTAATTCCCCCTTGTCATTACTGTAACAGAAAAAAAAAAAAAGAAATGGACTACAGAAAAAGAGGAAATGTGTATCTGGAAAGCAAAGTAGAAAATAAAGAGAAGCGGGGAGTCCTGCGGTGTTAAAGCCGCAGTGCTGCTTTCAGGCACATCAGAGGGATGCTGTGGTTTTTTTTTCTTTTGGTTGCAGGTGATAGTTTCTGTCTCAACAGAAAGTAAATTTAGAGCATTCAAATCCAAGTAGTGATTGGAAAAGCAGCGTCAGGGAATTCACTGTGAAGGTATTGTGCAATGGACTCGAAATACAGCAGTGGAGGTTGATGAGAAATATTACAGTATGTGAATGTGTCAGCACTTCTTTACAGATGACTGCAGGTGATGACCGTTGTTCACGATTAGCATCAGTGTGTGTTGTGTGTGTGTGGGGGGGTTTTCCGTGGGTGTATCAAGTAGAAACTGCACATTAGCGAGAAAAGTTGACTATTATGTGTGTGCTGGTATTCATTAACGTCGAAAAGGTTTTGTTATTAAGTTTGAAACCATAAAGGTGAAGTATGCTGTGGTACCTCTTTTTTTGACTCCTGCAGGATGTAATGAAGCCTTTTGCTGAACTTAAAACGCAGCCGAGGTGTTTAATCTTATTTATGACGTACTTGGTGGTGCACCGGTACACTGCTGTTGTTCTGTGTTGGAAGCGATGCATATTCTTCTTTATGAGAAACACTAAATCATCCAGCTTGTGTTTTTCAGTACGAAGCAGCAAATATGTCCATCCTACAGCTATTTGATGCTACTTCTCCAATATAACACCAAGTTTTCGTTTGTTTGTCTCCATGTTTCTGACGCTTTGGGCTAAAATTAATACAAAACATCATGAATCATTAGGTGTAATTACCAGCCAGAGTTATAGCCTCTATACAGTAAACTAAGGACATGCTATTAAATTGAAATGAAGGATTTTGCAATCTCCAATTCAAAATTAACATTTCGTGGATTCCTGTATTCTTTAAACTCAAGATACTTAAACTTTGGATTCTTTGAGGCCAGCATAAAAAGATAAATGATTCATTGTGTTTCTGGCATGTAGAGAAAGCTTTGAAACATAATTTATACTTTTATGTTTTGTCAAAAAAAGGTGTGAAAGGGTTTGGAATAAGACAGAAAACTTTAAGTGAAATGTAAAAGGTGAGACTTTACTTATTGAAGAAAAGAGGTCATTGAACTCATCATCTCAGTATTTCAAAACTCTGATCTGTTAGTAGCAGATGTCTATCTACTTCTTACTTAAAATGGTCCTGCGTTCATTTTTGTACAGCCTCCTGCTTTCATTCGAGTGCAAGTTCATATGACTGAGCTTCCCTTTAGTAAAGCGCTTCCTCTCAGAATAACAGGTGAATGAGGAAGTCAGTGTTCCCACGGCCTCAGATATTTATACTTATTGGCTTTGCTGTCCGTGACTGTTTGTGTGTGTGTGTGTGTGTGGAGGGGGAAGAGACAGTGAGAGGAGACAGGAAGTGATTCTGATTGGCTGTGAGCTGCAGCAGTGCCTCAACGCTATTCGCTTGATCAGGTGGTGCTGTCTCTGACTCACCTCCCAGGGGAGGGAAGGAAACCCTCCAGTCAGTGCTGCAGCCTCCTCTGCTAAATTATGCACCTCATGGTGTGTTTGTGTGTGTCAGACTGAAGCTGTGACTTAAGTGTGACACGTGTGTGTTTTATCTACCCTCTGGTCTGATCACTCGTCACTGCTGTAGTGTAGATAATCTACTGTGGGCTGCTTTTTACAGTAAGAGCAGGAATGCGGGGGGGCGACCCCTCATTCATTCTCTTTTTGAAGCATAAATTATGTGGTGTTAGATTCCAGTGCAGGAGGTGGAATGTATTTGTAAAATAGTGGTTTGAGGCAAAGCTGTCTGAGAACTCAGGAGGACAGATAAGTCTTGTGTATTTGTGGTAAACGTCTACCTCAAGTCAAAACTGTTCACATATGCAGAATTGGTAATGAGCTGTCATTACCACTTCCTGGACGACAGTTTCGTCTCACCGCCTTCAAATGTCAGACGTCCGCCACACACATCTGTGCTTTAATGCATCGATTAACTGATTAGCACTCATTAACGTGTGATTCATTTGCGTTTTCGAAGCTGTTTTATCTCTCTCACATTTACACATTTTGGCTCCTTCTGCTTACAGTCACAATTGTAGTTAATAAACTGTCAGAGTGCACAAATAGAGGAACATGTTGATGCACTAAAAGCTAAGGGACGACATGACCACACAGTTAGAGTAAATATGAACACTTGGCAGCACACAAGTCATTTTTCATTATAAGAAAAGTTAGATTTCTATTACATCAACTGTTTTACCATAAAAAAAAAAAAACAGCACACTGACACAAGAGCAAAAACATGGGACGGTGAAAGTCTGATAGCATTTTTTTTAAGAGTTTGACTGTGGAAGTGAGAGTGGTTTTTTTTCAGCATGACTGTGGCAGTTGGTCACGTTCTCACATCATTTATTTTATGCTTATGGGTACAATTCCTTGTCAAATGCCAGACAGTGGTTTTGTCTGTTTTTACCCCCCTTCTTCTTCTTCTTCTTCTTCTTCTTCTTCTTTCTGTGAAGCCAATGCATCCCATGTGGCGATTGCATGTGTGGCTTTCCATCTGCACTACAAAATTATGCAGATCAGACAAATGGAAGCTGTAAATCTGCTGCCATAGTTGCAACACACTATTGTAGATCTAACTATTTGTCAGCTTATAGAATTTAATATATTTAAAAGTCTGTCCATAGACCAATAATAATTATTAGGCTTTTTCAGATTACTTCTGTTATTCAGTATCAGCTCTGTTCTATTTTAACTCCCCAACTGGTACACCTGACTGAGCTTAATAAAGTATTGATTTGGTATTGATTGATAACACCATGTCACATAAACTCCGTAATTAAAAGTCACAAATTTCTTAATAAATATTGATTGAAATTTCTCCTAAGCAAGTAAATCTTCAGGAAAAGAGAAGTTTTATTAATGTGGCAGAAACTGCAGTTTTGCACTTGCTTAGAGACGTGTAAACTGTAAAACAGAATTTTAAAAAGCTGACTTTTTCTACAGATGTACACAAGTTATAACACACATAATGCAAATTTAGTGTTTTTATAACACTGCATGTACATTTTTTAAAAAGTGCTGTTTGACGGGTTTTCTTTGTTTTTTGAGTGTTTATTATATAGTATATGTATATAGTATTATATAGTGTATTGATTGTCCTTCTTCCCGCAGAGCTGAGTTCCACTCTGATGGAGAAGATGCAGGCCCAGGAGATGATGAGCGGCCTGAGGATACCGGAGATGGACGAGCTCGGCCAGTTCTTCCGCTCCCTGCCGACCTCCACCCTGGTGGGCATTGGCGCTCTGACCGCCGTGCTGGCGTACTGGTTGGCCACCAGACCCCGTCCCATCAAGCCTCCCTGCAGCCTGCTGCACCAGTCCGAGGAGGTGCCGGTAAGACTGGCGTTTTTACTGATGCATTTTATATTAGTTTTAGGGTTGCATTCACCAATCCCTGGCAATAACACTCACTCATTTGCAGCTGCAGACGCACAACCCACACTGCTCTCTTAGTGTCCAGCTAACATGATTTTCCCCTTTGATAAAAATGCTGATGCACTCATTCGAGTCACCTTCAATTGTTTTCATGCACTCGCAGAAATATGCTACAAGCTATGAGCAGGAGGGAGTGCTTTGGGGTTTTGTATTTTCTTTGCCCTGCATTATGGACAACAGGCCACACTGAGGCTGTTTTAAGCAGGTGAGCTTGTTGGAGCAATATTTGCAAAACACAACAATGTTTAATAAAGATACATAATAGAGCATCAATCGAAGGTAAGGCCGAGAACAACTGGGTATCAGGCCTTCTAAGTAGGGTTTGGTGCCTTGTTGCAACGACAAGGCACACAGTTTTATCAATTTAATCAACCGCCATCCCAACCAAAAAGTAAACACACACCCTGTTTAACAGGTCTGTCTAACCGACTGGTGGGGCAGGTGGCGTTTGTCGTCAGTAAACTCCTCGGAAGGGCTTTTTGTGGCCTTCGAGGCTTTTTTTTTTGTTTTTTTCATAACCTGAGGAGGTGTTTGGAAGAAGTGACATTGCAGTCTGACAAACAGTGGATGTGACAAGTGTAGGTACAAGCACATGCAGTTATGTGTTATGAGTGTTCAGAGTTTCATAACATGCCAGGCCCCTTAATCGTTTTAACCCGAATGACTCATTTGCAAAAACGAATTTGCTTCAACTGTTATTTGTCTTTATGAACTGTAATTGCAGAGAATGCATCTGCACAAGGAAACAACACACAGCTTTGTTCTCTGCTAGGCATTTGTGAGCTGACAAAAGAGATGGATTATCATTTGGAGAACAAGGAAAACTATTTTGTTTTTTCCGTCCCTTAGGCTTGAGTGTCTATGCAACACTCTTTTTATGATGGAGACGAATTACATCCTCCTGACTTTATGGCGTTAAACTCTTTTGTTGTCTCTTTCTCTTTGTGTCAGCATGAGGACGGGGGTCGTAGGTCGATGATGGGTGACCACTCCAAACTGCTGACCCATTACCATGACGACGCCAGGACCATGTATGAGGTCTTCCAGAGAGGCCTTCATATATCTGGTAGGTGGGAGGATATGAGGCGGAAAAATAAGCTTTTCAAAGTACATGTTTTTCACACGACTTGGACAGATTTTCCCATCAAGTGTTTTTTTTTCATTTATCCTAAAAAAACACGACATTTGGCTTCTCCTGGCTGAGACAGAGACGTAACACATAGAGACTGAAAAAAAAAAAACAATAAAAATGACATAAGTCAAACAACTAGACGTGATTGAAACAATTGTGTAAAACTAATTATGTACCACATTTGGAGGTGATATAAAAACATGATGTCATGTCCTCAATTTTCTCAATCATCAATCAATCAAAAGCCCCCATACTTTTCTACTTTAATTTAGATTTCCCCACCAGTAATCTGTCCACTACTTGTTAGTCTCTCTTTATATAATTTAACTGAACCAAGAAAGAGATTTTTTAAAAGTCTTTTACTCTTTATTCTTGTAGCAGCACATCTGCAATACTATTTACATATATTGTGAAAAAGCGAGAATAAGAGATTGTGATATCATTGTGATGGTATTTTCAACGAGACAAAGTAATGAACTGTTGCGGCAGTAAAATGCAAATGAAAGCAACAATTATGAGTCCTGTTATCCTCAGCCACAGATGCACAATCTAAACCTGAAAACAGAGCAATCAGCTCCCACAAGAGATTTGATTGGTAGCAGTGTTTTAGCTCTTTTATCTTGATTAAAATGGCTCAAATTAAAGTGCTCAAATTTGACTGCCTGGTGCATTCGTAGGCACTGATGAAATAGGAAAAGATGTAATTCAGCAGTGAAAAAAAGTAACACATATAAATGCTGAAGTGAGCTTGCAGTGAAATACCATGTACATATACATGTTTTAAGACTTCACAAATAATTATTGGGACTCTCCAGTGGGAATAATCTAACTTCTTTGTCATTTCAGATGGCTCGATGTACAGTAACAGGGTATCCACACGCTCAACCACACTCACACTGAGATACTGTACTGTTTTTTTTTTTTTTCTTGTTTTACACACATGTGGACAGAGACAGCACACAGTTTGATAATTATGCGGTCTGACCGTTAAAACCTCCAGTTATGGCTCTGCTGCTGGAGATAAAATGACTCCTGTGGTTGCCAAGGTGATGGCCATCGTTGCTAATGGTAACAGTGTCAGGGCTCACAGCCAAGTAGTTTCAGACTTGGTGACTGACTCACAGTGTGGGGATACGGTGGAGGACATTATCCACCGTCACGTTTTGTTCGTTATTTACTCGTGTTCCCGACACAGGCTCACGTCTTGCGTTCCACTCAGCACTGAGGTATTTTAATGTCTCTGGTCCTCGAAAACTTCATACTTCTGATAAAGCAAGCATGATACAAACAAGGAAATCCTATTGGCGCAAAGCCTGCAGAAGGGGATCTTCTGTCAGCAGTCACAGAGGAAGGAGACTGTTATCTAAATGAGGAGAAATGATCAAACTGACCCTCTTACTGTGTGATATGTGAACCCTACTTGCACTTGAATAGTCTCCAGTTTAAGATGATGTACCTCTGAGGGGACTAAGAGAGCTCATGTTATTTGGATTTGGGAGGGAAAGGTAAATCATGGCCCATGTATGAAAGCAGAATCAGTTGTATTTATGAATGAGGCATGACAATTAGTGTTCTCTCTGAGGATGGGTATATAAAGGGATGATGAGAATGTTGCAGCACTCATTCAGCCGGAAACGCTGCTTGATGACTGAATGCTATTCAATAAAATCCCACAGAGGACTCTCTTTTGTTTGTGGCATTTTGTTAAATGTCAAAATTTCCTGATTGGAAAGGAAAAATTACTTTCCTTGTTTAGAGTCTTGTTTGGAGAAGATATTGAACCCTGAGTGACCTCCTTAGGTAAATGTAGTGATGTAGCAGATTTGCACACTGTAACTTCTATAGATTCTTGACCTCATGTAAGCCTCATTGTAGGAGGACAGGCAAGACAGGATGCACCTCTCAAGGCCAGATGATACCCGACTTATCTTTGTTTCCGTTTCTCCCATAAATCTGGATGTGACTCCCACTGAAGACTAAAGATATAAGAGGGATCTTTAGAATTGATGCTGGCATTGCATGCGTGAACTGCTGTTCTGTTCGTGTCACTTCTCCTGAATTCAGTAAACCTTATTTCCTACTCATCTGAATCTCCGGTATGTCTCTCTGTGTCGGGCTCCTCATCCTACATCAACCTCTTCCAGAATTTCCACAACACTGAGCTGATATTTCCTCCTAACAGCACTCCAGCCACACTCAGACTCCTTCCCAACTGTTTTAAAGTTCGCTAAGTTTGACCCTGAGCTGTTTAAACCTCCATCGTGTTCTACCCTCTGAACCCCGAAACACCCACTTGCAGGTTTGAAAGGCATATTTTAAAAAATCACCAAAATTACACAATTTATCAGAGCCATGGAAAGAATTTTTAATTTTCTCATTGCCTTGAAATTTGTATCTGTGATGTGTTTTTTCTGTTTTGTTTAAAATAGGGATGTTAAAGCAAAATCAATTTACAAAATAATAATAATATTAAATCTGTTTTATAAAGCGCTTTTTAGGAAACTCAAAGACGCTTTACACGCACACAAAAATGCCAGAATAATGTAAAAATAATAAAATAAAAATGTGCTAAAAAAAAAAAAAGCTTGTGCAATAGCTAGATTCTGTAAAAAATAAAATAAAAATAAAACAAAAATAATTCTGTGCTCTTTGGCACAAATGGAAAGTCATTAGTGACTCAGTTGTGACTAACAGTCACATGACAGTTATTCAGGAACTTATCCGCTTAACTGCAGGCTGAGTTTACACAGAGCAAACAGTAGACAAGTATGCAAACATAGTAATAATGTACAGTCGTCCTCAAATGCATTCATATCCTTATAAAGAAAAGGCAAAATTCACAGTAGTCACTCATATAACTAGAAACTGCAAAAAATAACAATACATTTTTAAAAAATGCTAAATTATATTTTAGTGAAATGAGACATAGGTTTTGAATTGTGGTTGAAAAGAATAATTAAAAAAAAACAAAAAAAAAATCTGTCACGGACAAATTAGAGCACTTTGCTGATGAGCAGTGGGCCAAAATCAAAATACCTGTCAACAGGTGCAGAATTCTGATTGAGAGTTACAGAAAATACTTGATTGCAGTGATTGGCTCAAAGGTTTGTTCAACAAAATATCAGTTTACAGGTCCCATCATGCTTGTTTGCTTGTTTTTGTTTTATATGAAATTTTTATTTATTATTGCTTTTGTCAATTTCAACTTAATTCAGTGACAGCTGTTTTTTCCTTCTGTAATGGGAGGGTATGAATACATGTGAGGACGACTGTGGGTATTGAAATATCTATAGTACGTAGTTGTTGTTGTTGTTATTTTTCCAGTATTGGTAACACCTGTGGGCACTTGGGGAGATGCTCTACCTGTTGTTTCCATTTTTTCCTCCATTTTTGTAAAATACATTATCAATAAAATGTAGCTTTCCCCCATTTTTTATGGATTAACTGTGTCATACTGCACAGGAGACATTTCTGAGTTCTCTCTGCTTCTTGCCATGATTTTGCTGTTTCCATAGAGGAGCAGTGAAAAATGAGTCCACAGTGAATACGACAGGAGCAACAAACACCAAGAAACCTTTTGGGATTCTGAAAGTTAAACTGTTTGGAGTATTTAATACTGCTTGACTGATTTTCATCCCAGTTAACAATGGTTTTGTCTCCCTGTGTGTTGAACAGGTGATGGACCTTGCTTAGGCTCGCGGCTCCCTAACCAGCCTTACAAATGGATGTCCTACAAAGAGGTTAGTGCCACTCAGGGGACATCTTATCTCTTTGTAACCACAACAGTTTCAGCTTTATCTGAGAGGCGGAAAAGCTTTAGAGGAGGGGGAACTCTAAAAGAGATGTCCAGCATGTGGAAAGTACCCAAGGCAAAGCTGCACAATGCTTCTAGAGATGTGATAGAACAGAATTTATATTGCTTTTACAGTTATGAATCATTCAGAGATCTGAACATGGGCACCTTTGCATTTTTTTTCTTGGTAAAATTTGCCCAAACATCATTTTCTGTAAAGCCAAATCTATGAAATGGCCTTTCTGACTTCCTGGAAATGTCTTTATTACTCATAATCTTTGTAATGACATTTAAGGAGCGATAAAGTGTTCTTTCAGGGAACCGTCAGGTGTAGTTTGAAACCTGTGCACCACAGAGACTCAGTCTGCCTAGCAACGAAGGCTGGCACCGTCACCAACCTCCACTGAATACCTGCAGTCTGCAAACACCGCTATAAATAGATAGCTGGACTAAAAACACGTTTTGCTGTAGGTCACTACCATTCTAAATTAAGAATACACTGAAGTTATCAAGAACTTCTTTAGGAACTGTTTATTGTCTGGATATGATAAAGGTTGTCTTCTACACTGGATTTACTCACAGATATTATAAATCATTATCCTTCTATCATCAGCAGTTGGGATTACAAATATAAGCTGCATAGGTGCTGCTGCCGGCTTCTCCCACATTAAATAGTGTATAGTAAGATTTCTATTCAATTTAGTTTAAGAAATGGCCCTGAAGGAAGCAAGAGAATTAACAAAAATATACACTTTATTTAGAGACATGAAAACAAAATTAAATATATGGCAATGTTAGAAAGAACTGAAACACAAAATGAATTAATAGCCAAGAAAACTTCCTTCTATTAGTTTTATAAATACAGACAATTGAAAAAACCCTTCCTGGTGACATCAGCATACATAATCTTACAAAATATTTGTTACTTTTTTTGAAGTGGAGGTTATTGTTCAATAACTTAATGTCCTTTTGACACAGTGATGTAGAGAAACAAAATAAAGGTAAAATTCTTTTAATAAACGACCAATAAATATATACAGCATGTAACAAATGTATTAGACCACCACCCAATGTAAGGTTTATGTCATAGCTGCTCTAAATGAACAGCATTGGTAATTAGTAAAATCTTTTTATTACGTTTCTGTAATGGTTAATACAGCAGTATGTAGAAATTCTTTAACCGAAACGATATCTTTAATACTGAAATATGATTGTTGTTATTCATGAATTTTCAAATTTGCTGTTTTACAAAAAGAATAAAGAACAATAGTAAAGCACATTGTTATTATTTGATTAAGATGTCAAGTTATAGTTATTTACTCGCTTTCTTGAACAGAGAAATTATCTTTTGCGGTTGAATGTCATGCTTGATTAATTTCTGACTTCTCAGAGAAGCTCAGTGAGCCGGCTCATAGTTGGGTATGGTACAAGATCAAGAGCTGAGTGCGCATTAAAGCCTTCATGATGCTTTGATGGTATATACACTGTTGCCTATAAAGTTTGAATAGAAATATTTTTTTTACGTCTTATCGTGATGATTGTGACAATGTGATTTATTCTTGATAGATAAAGTATATATCTTCTCAAAAGTTTATTGATGTTAGAATACACATACTATACATATTGCAGTAAACAATTGAAACCACAATTAACTTTGGCAAACTGTGTATTCAGGTTGAAACAATACTGGGGGTATTGAACAAATAGAATAAGGTTTTTGTTTCAATTTTTCAACCTTGGTCAATTTACCAGGAAACACATATTTGAGGGGATTTCATGCATAAGAATTTCCAATATTACGGATCAATGCGTTAAGACATGGTGGCACACTGTCCGCCAGCTTGTTGATGGTGTCAATGAGCAGGACGTCCCACTCTTCAGTCAGATCCCAAAGTCAGAATTCATTCACCTGGTAACTGGGACTGAGTATGTAATCACTGGTTACTGGTCAAAAGTGATTACTCATGTGTATAAACAGAAATAAAAAGAGTATTGTGTCTGAAAACAGAAATTATTCCAACTTCATTGGCAACAGTGTATATATATATGGTATATGTATTTTCACTTATTTTCAATATTACATCATACAGGGTGTGGTGGAAAAACTTCTTCCTGTGATAATGAAATACAGACACCTGAGAAAATACTGTCTTTCGAGAATTTTATTCTCTGCGTCGAGAAGGTTGATCGTCACACAGAATGCAGAGCAGTCTGCAGAAGAACAACAAAGAATATTGGGTGTGTGCTGAAAATAAGGCTAGGGGTAGAAGGATGAGAGTACAGGAAGCAGGAACACCGGTGTCTCCTGGAACCTTGTGGTTAGTTTTCGGTCAGGCAAGTCGAGCACAGGTGAAACGTCCAACGCAGGTCAAACAGCGCTCTCGGTGTAAAAAATACTGGCACAGCGAAAAATTGCTGTTATGGAGGTCCCCAAGAATTTGTAGTGATATATGATTTCAGCGCTTGTGCCATTCATGAGTGATGATGTTTAGAGGAATCAGTTGAGTTGGGATCTTTTGGGAAATTCCTGATTCCTGGTGAAAACCTGAACTAAAGTCAGTCTTGGCAATGTCAATTTAGGATCAAAATCTGCAGGTTATTGGTTGATTTTAGCTGTAGAACTACAAATATAAAGTGTAACAGAATATCCTCACCAGCACACATATCGTTCTCAACGTTCCATCTTCCAATTCTATTACTATTGCTTCTAAATATTATATGAAAGTAGTCGTCATTCAGTTCCTGGAGTAGCCAAAAAACAAAACTTTCAGTGGGCCTTGAAGCAGTTTCAGGTTGTGACAAATCAATGAGTGCAGGAGAAAACCTGACACATTTTTGGAAAGTCACTGGAGCGGCGTTGGTGGTTAGAGGGAAATTTCATTTAGACAAGTGATGTAGTAATCTACAGTAGACGATGTGAGAATTACACCATCGTCAACATTTATCTGTGACATCATGTTATTTTACAAGAAACCTGTGGGTGGAAGGTTCTTTTGTTACTTTTTTTTTTCATTCTGCTGTAATTCATAGATCCACCAGACAGATCTGGACCTGCTTACATTCTCATTCAGTGAGAAGCCGCCTTTTACGATAACTGAACTAATTATTCCAAGTTGGAAAATAAGGTGCAAGACTTGTGCTGAAACATGGAAAAGGCAGGAGAGGGCTATTGTGCAACTTTCTGTGCTGCCCAAACACAGCGACATCAATCATGTTTCCACTCGTGCCTTTCTCATCACGGCAACTTGAGAAACTCAATTCCGGCAATTCAGAAGTTTACACAATAGGATGTGATGCACTTCTCCAAACGTGGTGTGCAGTGTGTTGTGTTCATAGCTGAAAAATGGTGAAAAATGAAAGTCATATGATCAACACAAGTATGGGTGTCCCTTTTTTTCCAAATTGTTACCAGAGGAGATCATTTTATTTCCCTTTACTACTAATTGTACTAAATGATCCAAAAAAGCTTATCAACACCAAGAAACATTATCAACTCCTACTATATTATCCCCCCAAAATATACAAGTATAAAGAAGAGAAACATTATGCACTGTTCAAATAGGGTATTTTTTAAAGTATTTTCTCTGCATTTGTTTGGTTTTGTTCCACTCATTTGAATCATCTGTCCACTCCATAGGTGACAGCCCGGGCGGAGCATCTGGGTTCAGGCCTTCTGCACCAGGGCTGCCAGCCCAACCCCAACCAGTTCATTGGAGTGTTTGCTCAGAACAGACCTGAGGTGACTGCCACTCTTTGTTTCAATCTGTGCTCGTTTCGTATTGTTTCTCCATCGCTTTGTCTGTTTTACTCTGTTTCTCACAGGTTCTCTGCTTCACTGTTTTACACAGATTGGCTACAAACGCTCACATACATGTTGGCATACCGGGGTCTCGTCTTATTGCAATTTTTTTCTTTCTTCAACCGCAAAAATGCATTGAATCTCCAGTCATTATTTAAGCCCTAAAAATGTACCACTTTTCACATCTTAAAGGTTTTTTTTTCCCTGTAAAAATAACCCCATCCTGCCTTAAAATGACTTAGATGTAACTCTACACCGTTGCCTTATCTCAATTGTGCACATAGATACTCAGACTTGCTCAAACTGCTCCGTGCTACATGATAGAAAGTTGTAATGTTGAAGTCACTCAGTCATGCATGATTGAATTGGAAACTGGAGAGGAACAACGGAATGTAATGCCCCACCCTACAAACTGCCCACACTGGTTCCTTAAGTTTGTTAAATATGAAACCTCAGGAGTCTGTATTTTTAAGATTCATTGGTACACTGCAGTTTCAAGGTGGAAGTGCTCAGCCTGGATGCTGACTGCATATTTCACACAATACATGTCTTCCAGACTATAAAAAACACCACACTAGAGGGGTTTTTTTTAGAACTAGAAAAATTTGTATATGCATGATCTAAAAAGTGAATTAAGAAAGTAAAAGTATGCATGAACTGTAACCTCTGACCTTTACCTTGTGTGTGATTGCAGTGGATCATCTCTGAGCTAGCCTGCTACACCTACTCCATGGTGGTGGTTCCCCTTTATGACACGCTAGGCGCAGATGCTATACGGTTCATCATTAACACCGGTAAGAACACACAAACACAAACTAGTCAAACGAGTGTAAACGGGCGGCCATGTAAACACAATAAACAGTCCAATCCTCGTGGAAGGAATAAACCACAAAGCCTGTAGCTGAATATTTGAATTACAGCTGCTACAGATGCAGTGTGTGTGTGCACATGTACATGTCAAGTGTGTGTGTGTGTGTGTGTGTGCATATGTGTGTGTGTATGTCTGTATGTATCAGCATCAGTAGCTTTCAGGAGTAGAGCTCCCCTCACTGGTGACTGAGAGCATCTTGTTCATGTGTTGCTTTGTGGATTAAGGCTTATTTAACGGCTCAAATGGTTACAGTGTAATTCTGTAGCAAATGGTGGCTGCTGGGCCATTAACCACATGTATAGAGTATGTACCTGATTTTATACAGAGTTGAATCTAAGTGTTGTGAAAATAAATGAACTGAACTGAATATAGTGAAAACATCAGAGCCGTGAATTGGCTGAATGAACTGCGGTCAGAAGCTACAAAACTTCAAATTTGAATCGACCTTAAACACAAGAGCTGACTAACAAGATCACCTGAATGTTCTGGACATCTTAAATTCTTTCTGAGCTCCTTTGTTAAACAGTAATTTAACAAACTTTCACCTGAATTCCCACTCCGCATTTGTTTTGTTCCTTTTCTTATTTTTTTTTTACTGATATTCACACAAGGGTGCGTGGGCTCTTGTGTGCTTGTTTCATTTCAGCTGACATCTCCACGGTCATCTGCGACAAAGTAGAGAAAGCTCAAGTGCTTTTGGATAACGTGGAGCGGAAGGAGACCCCTGGCCTACGAAGAATCATCCTGATGGATGCCTTCGACTCCGCCCTCGTGGAGCACGGCAAGAGCTTTGGCGTCCATGTGCAGGCCATGCAGGAAGTCGAGGTACGATGAGTAGGAAAAGCAAATTACTGCAAAGCTCTGGAGAGTTTGATTGGGAAATTGGCTCAGTGCGAGTAATGCATATTGCTTTAAATAACAAATAGTCACCACCAGATTTCTCATTCACAGAGGCTACAAAATAATGGTCTGAATGACTTCTTTTTTTTTTTTAAATGCTGTGATATGTTCTCCTGAATGGCTGTCAACAGCAGTGTAATTGCACTTAAACTTGACTGATATTTGCTGTGATTCAAGAAGTAGTACTCTTTCCCTACTATATTCTGGTGCTGCTTTCTATTCCAGCAGCTTTTAAATAACCACATATATTTTCAAGATAACTTTTAAAATGGCTGATGTTGGCTGAATTATTCCGGCTGTGGTTCATTTTTTTTGCTCAGGACTTTCTCACCCACCTTGTGCACGATAGACATAAATTTGTGTTTCATCACAAAGTATGCATCAAAACCAGAATTCAGATTAGTGATTAACCAGAACTTCTGTACTTTGACTGTCAGTGCAATTTGACTGTTCCTGCAGTAATAGCTGCAGTGATGCCATGCTTCTGTAGACTGGTAAGAGTCAAGAATTTGCACAAACGGAATTTGTAGGTAGACAAAACAAAGTGATGTTCAGATATGGACATGTACAAACAAGATGAGTGTGTGTTGAGTGAGATGATGCTTATCTGCCCGTCTCTGGCGGTACAGAATCACAGACAGAAAATGGAAGATAGACAACATTACTGTATTTAAATGGACAGGCCTGCCTTTGTATCCGGGCGTGTATTTACAGTAATTTTGCTTCTCTTACTGATAGTGATTCATATTCTTAATCATCACTAACCAGACAATAGCATCTCTTTTAAAAGACAATTAAGATAAAAGCTTTCTTGAAATAAAAACAAAGTGTGCAACTATCCAAACAACATTCTGAGTTTGCAAAAATTATTGGCTTATGAGAACATGAGTTGCAGGAAGCAAATACGAACATGGGAAACGTATCTGCCAGTCTTGTGCACATAACTGGCATTCTTCTGTAATGATCAACCTTTATGGAAGTCTTTCAACTGTGCCAGCATGACAAACAGGCAGCTCGTCTGGTTTACCACATGTCTGACACTTAAAAGCAGCGAGACGAGTTCCAGAAAACACTGCTGCATTCTGAAGTGTGTTTACATTCTGACATTGAGAACCATAAATGTTGGACTTTTGGTTCCCAAATGATGACAAATGCAAAGACTTACCTAGAATTTAAAGTCCTTGGTCTAGAAAATTCACTGACATAGAAAATTGGAAATCACCCTAAAGCTGTATCTGGCGATATCATTTTAAAGTGATTTGCACATGCCAAAGTTTACCGGAAATATTCATTTCATGTTGTTGTTTTTTTTTTTTGCAGGCTCTGGGCAGAGAGCACTACAGAAAACCTATAGTAAGTACAACTAGTTCCAAATTCTCCTTTTTGCTCAATGCACTGTACAACAATTTTATCCATGCTAGCAGACAAGGATGGTTCAGCACACACACGAGTGGGCTTTAATAAACAAATCATTTGGCTCATCTAAATGTTACTGGGCCAAATGGAGTAAATTCTGAGAGTTAGTGACAATGTATTCCATTTTAAAGCTACTTATAGTTTAATAATTATGCACTGGGAAAGAAATTGAAAAAATGTGCCGCATATGATCAATGCAGAAGTTGCAGTTTAGCTACTTCACCAAAATCCCAGCACAGCTGTTGTTAGGGCCTTGGTGAACATGGTAAACCTGGGAAGTAATCTACCTTAAACCATATCAGCCCTTTGTACAATGTAAAATCAATAGTTCTGTCTGTAAAATCTCTTTAAACCAAAATATTCCATCCATTGAATGATTTCCCAGGTTTTCTGCTTTAGAGTGAAAACAAAGATGGCAGGTCGCCAGCTACCTGGATAGAAAAAGATGTTTTTTGTTTTTTCAGGCGAACATTGCTGTAGACTACCGTTTTGTTCTGATTATAAATGAAGATGATTTCTTTCTTTTTGGCATATATACGGATGTAAATGATTTAACAGCACATGCAGCTGAACTTATTGAGAATCTGTCAAGTGATTTATATAGTAATTTGTAGCTGACATTTTCTTTCAGTTCAAATTCAGAGAGACATCAACCTGAAACAGTAACTACACTGAATGCATTTTGATTCAAGTGTCTTGATGACGGGGTAGAGACAACATACTCATTAACGCTGCATGCGCTGGTGATGCTGCGATGGCAGAGAAAGCAGATCGAGCCGGAGATTGCACATACAGCTCAACATATACATTCAGCTGCGTGTTGTCAGTGCAGTTTCACAAGAAGTCTCATGACGTGTCATCTGACTGATGCAATTTTTTTTTCTCCACAGCCACCAGCACCAGATGACCTGTCCATTGTGTGTTTCACCAGTGGAACCACAGGTAGTAGTTGTGCGATTTGCGTGCATGTCATGCATCATTCGTGTTCGGTGCTAGAAAATCACATGCCAGTCATTCTGGGACACAGGTGATGCGGCCAGCTGCTGGCAATGCTGTCAGTATCTCTGTCATTTTACAGGAACTGTCGTATCATCATGCATCTTTTAACTTAAAAAAGAAATGAAGCGGGAACAATGCGGGCAAGGACCCCTGCTTGCTGCAGCAATATCACATATTTTATTATTATTTATAGAGCACTTTTCAAAACAAATGTTACAAAGTGCTTTTCAGTAAAATAAATTAAAATTAAAATGCAATAAGCATACAGAACAATTGATAAAAGTAGAAAGTCACACACAAAAAGCAAGAAGCTAAAAAAAACATAAAACTAGTGCCCCCCTTCTTTCACTATTGGCTTATATTACATATACTATAGTCGTCCTCAAATGTATTCATACCCTTCAATTAAAGAAAAGGCAAAATTCACAATAGTCACTCAAATAACTAGAAACTGAAAAAATCCTAATAAATAAAAAATTGCCAAACTATAATTTAGTGAAATAAGACATTGCTTTTACATTGTGGTTGAAAAGAATAATTTTAAAAATAATAAATAAATTAAAAACACACAAAAAAACAACAACAACAAATCTGTCCCAGACAACTTAGAGCACTTTGCTGATGAGCAGTGGGCCAAAATACCTGTGAACAGGTGCAGAAGTCTGATTGAGAGTTACAGAAAACACTTGATTGCAGTGATTGGCTCAAAGGGTTGTTCAACAAAATATTAGTGAACGGGTCCCATCATGCTTATTTGCTTGTTTTTGTTTTTTAATATATATATATATATATTTCTGATGAACCACAATTAAAAAGCAATGTCATGATTTTCATTAATTTTTTAAAATGTATTATTACTTTTGTCAATTTCAGCTTATTTCAGTGACAGCTGTTTTTTTTCCTTCTTCAGTGGGAGGGTATGAATACATTTGAGGACGACTGTAGTATATACTGACTGCTCTCGGATTCATAACTAAACTTTAATAAACAGCTCGTTCTCCCTGTGGTTTAGACAAGTTGCACCGATCAGTGACAACTTTACGATCATTCACTTCACAGACAGGTGAAGTGAAAACTTTGGGCTCTGACATTATGTGGATATTTCTTTGACCCAAATGTCAGGGTTAGGTGTTAACCAGTAGGACAACATGCCCGGACATTCTGCAACAACTGCTCAGGAAATAGCTCGAGGAACATGACAAAAAGTCCAGAGTGATGATCTGGCCTCCAGACTTCACAGATCCCAAATAGAATCATCAATAAACAAAATAAGACAGAGTTAGTTAACCAAGGTGTTCTGAACACATTCAAAATATAAGAACTTGTATAAACAGGTCCGTTGAAGTAGTTTAAAACACTAACAGTCAAACAGAGTTGGTTTTAATTTAACAAGCATGTCTTCTGCATTATAAAGTCAGAGAGAAAAACCTGCTGATGACACACCTTTTTACCAAAATTCCCTTTAAGGCCACTGATTCTAAATCACCATGTGTTAAAATGCGGTCAATGCATTAACATTTCCTTGTAAGAAAATGAGTTATTAATTCTAAAGTGGGACATTTGCATAATCCTGCATGTAACTAATACCAAACACAAACCATCCACCCTTTGCTTTGTTTTAGATGTTGACCTCATCTGAGTCAGTGGGAGCAGCATGTTACTGACACGGTTGAATTCAGGCAGTGTGCCAGTTCAAAGTGGACTCACCCATGCTAAAAATAAAATCACTCATTGGCCTCATTGAGTGCTTTCCATTAAACATGTAGTTATTAATAACAAAACAATGTGTGCAGTCCTCAAAATATGGCATATTACAACTGTTTTAGGCATTTAATGTGCACTTTCAAGAACATAAAATCATTCAGTAGATAAATACTCTGACTCCAAAGCACTTTTTGCTGTAAATGCTTGAAGTTCTCTTCACATTTCGAACCCCAAAACCCGCCAGCAAGTTTGAAAGTCATGGTATCTCTAAAAAAATAAAAAAAAGACACATCAAAAGGACAGCTTTTATCAGAGGCAGAAACTATAAAAACATAAAGAATCAACTTTGCAGTTGTCCTTGAACTACTCATTTGTGGCGTACCATTAGATCAAGAATCTAAAACAAATGTGAGCTTAAAATCATGACCTTTTGTGTGATTTCTTTTTTCCCATAATAACAATTTTAAGTGACTAGATTCTGTAAAAAAAACAAAAAACAAATCTGAGCTCATGACTCAGTTGTGACAAACAGTTACATGATAAAAGTGAAGGGTTTTTTTGATTGAACTGCAGGCAAAGCAGATAGAAGGAAAGTATGGAAACTAAAATAGATAGTCTATATATATGTGGACCCACCTTTTCCCCTCCACCCCAGTATTGGTAATACCTGTGGGCACTTGGAAATGTAATTCCAGATTATTTTGAATATTTGTAAAATAAATAAACACAGAAATTCAACTTTAGTTTTTTTTGTTTTTTTTGTTTATTACTGTTTTTCTAACTTAGGGTATTATAACTATAGTGTACTGCACAAAAGACACTTCTGAGTTCTCACTACTTCTAGCGATGGTTGTGCTGTTTGCATAGAGGACTTTGTATTGCAGTGAAAAGTGAGCTCAAAATGAGTGGAAATGTGACAAGCACAAAGAAAAGAACCAAAACAACACCCAGAATCTGAGGGTAGAACTTAAAATCTATTGTGTCTGTTAACAGAAGGGCTTGCATGGAATTTCTAATAATATTAAATTAATTTTGATTTTTTTTTTCCTTAAGTAAAACACAACAAAGGAATGGCACTTTATAATTCGCATTAGACACACTCTAATTGCTGGGGGATCGTGAGGATTTGTTAAAATACTTTACAGGGTGAAAAGGAGGGCAAGCATTTACTGTAAATCAATCTCTTCACATCAGGAGTGATCTGATAGTGAGACAGTAATTTACTCTTGCCTCATTACATAAATGTCCACTCCCAGCGTGCTCTATCATGTCAGACGCCAACTGTTCATGTGGGCGATGAAGCGCGGCTGCTCCTTGTGAAGCTCATTCCAGAGCAGCAGCAACTCCAGCAGCAGACATGGAGAAAAGCCAGGTCGTGTGAGGACACACTGGTGTCAGTTTACAAGTGACACCAGCTGCAGCTCCTCCCACATTCAGGATGTGCTGGAAACGCTGCCACCTGCTGGCACAAACAGAGACATGCAGCAGCCTCTCAGACACAAGGCTTCAATTTCCTGCAGTGACCCTGCGTTTCTCGAGAATTCCCTCCGTCTTTGTTGCGACATGCATTCAATTCTTAGCCTCCAAGATTGCTCACAGCTGTTTGGGTCAGATGACATCTCGGAAAGAGGAACGCTTTATTTAAAAGAGCCGTTGCTTCACTTAAACCACAGTGTGTGTAAAAAAGAAAAAAGACAGAGGGGAGGCTAAGCAGAAATGACCTTACAGTTAGAAAAAAGAAAAGGTCAGTTTTTTTGTGCTGTAGGAATTACCAAACACAACACAAGAAGCCTGATGTAGGGATTTTCTCAAAGGGAAAGTGATGTTTTAAGTTGGGACATACTGTGGCGAGTTTTTCCACTTGAAATAACAATGACATGTGGCATCAAAATATGTAAATGTAAGTATTTATTTAATCATATACTTGTAGGGGCATTTTAGGGGCGGAGTAACTTGCGAAAAAAAGAGACAACAATATACCCAAAAGTTAATGTGACATGTTTGAAGTAGCGGTTACAGATAAGGCTTAGAATAATACATAAAATAAAATAAATAAAAAATGGCATGACATTTTAACACCACATATATACAGCTTTGGAAGTAATTATCAGACTGCTGTGACCACCGTTTTCTGCCTCTTCTTTTATGGATCTTGGTTGAGCAATACTGCTTTTTCTTTTTTGCAATGAACGGCTGTTTTACTTTTTTCCAAGTCGGTTAGCAGTGATTCTCTTGCTGTGTCCCTCTTTGTTTTTCATCATTTCGCAATTCTCCTCTTTTAGGCATTGTTGACTGATAGTGTGGCTTGGACTATCTATTGACTTTACAGCTTGTGCACAAAATGATGGGGACTAAAAAAAAGGGTTTCAGCCTTCCATTTTCTATACACCGCTTAATCCTCACTAGGGTCACAGGGGGGCTGGAGTCTATCCCAGCTGACAGGTAACCAGTCTATCACAGGGCTACACTTAGAGACAGACAACCAAGCACACTCACATTCAAACCTACAGACAATTTAGAATCACCAATTAACCTCAACATGTTTTTGGACCTTGTGGGAGGGAGAACCTGGAGAGAACCCACACTGCACGGGGAGAACATGCAAACTTCACGCAGAAAGATCCCGGGTGTCGTCACCGAGACACGAACCGGCAACCTTCTTGCTGTGAGGCAATGGTGCTAACCACCGAGCCACCTTGCAGCCCTGTTTTAAGCCATCAACTATGCATTTGAGATTTTTGACATTTTTTTCAGTTTCAATACATCATATATTTAAACAGAATAACGTCATTATGGAATTATTATAAAGTATTCTCTTATCTCTTAAAAGATGATTTAATTATTTAACCACTATGATACAATTCTATCAAAATAATCAATGCTGGAGGCTTGTTGGAGGCTGCAAGGTGTCTCAGTGGTTAGCATCGTCACCTCGCAGCTAGAGGATCCCCGGTTCACGTCCCAGTTAGGACGCCTGGGATCTTTCTGTGTGGAGTTTGTATGTTCTCTCTGTGCAGCGTGGGTTCTCTCCGGGTTCTCTGGCTTCCTCTCACAGGCTGAGGTTAACTGGTGATTCTAAATTGTCTGTAGGTGTGAATGTAAGTGTGCTTGGTTGTCTGTCTCTAAGTGTAGCCCTGTGATAGACTGGTGACCTGTCCAGGGTGTCCCCTGCCTTCGCCCTAAGTCAGCTGAGATAGGCTCCAACCCCCCACGACCCAAGTGAGGATTAAGCGGTGTATAGATAATGGATGGATGGATGCTTATTGGGCAAACAAAAGGTGGTCAAATAATATGTCCAAAGGTGCACATATTTATATAATATACAGACTCATCAATCAATCAGTAGCCTGCGACTCTGCTTTTAGTATTTGGCGGTGCTTTTGATTATCATACCTGATACACTCTACACCTGAGACTTGACACTTTTACAGCTAAAAAAATGCAATAAAAGCTCCTTTGTTAAAACAAGTCAATCTCGGGTTTCAAACATGAAGTGTGTGGGAAATGTAGACGGTATTCTGCTGAGCCAGGTTTATTTTTCCATGTCACATTCCTTTTGTCTTCTCCTTGGATGACTGGGTGCTCCTTGGGCAGGTGAGGGGAGTTTCACCTGGGTAATGTTGGTGCATGTTCTTCTGTCTGCTTTCACAGGAAACCCAAAGGGAGTCATGCTGACCCATGGAAACGTGGTGGCAGATTTCTCAGGCTTCCTCAAAGTAACAGACGTGAGTTGCCCTATTTTTTTATTTTTTATTTTTTCTGTAGTTTCCAGGAAGTCTTTCATACCAATCCCCCGCTCGTTGCTTAATGAAGGTTGACTGTCTTTGTTTTCTTTTCTAATCTATGTTTATTAAATAGCTGCATTGTAAGCTCATTTTTAAGTCATCTGATTTTGTTTTCCCTCCTCTGTGTCCTGCAGAAAGTCATTTTTCCCAACCAAGATGATTGCCTCATTTCCTTCCTGCCACTGGCTCACATGTTTGAGAGACTTATCGAGGTAAATGGGCTGAACCGAGATCTGTGACCACAGGAATGAGATAGTTGTGTGTTTATGAGTTCAGGATGTTAGCGGGGGCAGAGGAAGGATCTTTGTAGGAGGAATGATATTGAAGTTGGGCGTTATTAATGCAGTGTGTGTGGGTTGGAAAAAGAGTGGGCGTAGAAGTCTTTATCCTCCCTTTTTCTCTTGTTCCTGAGTTTCGCTTTCCAACTCTGAGGATGTCATCCCTGAGTTTTACAGCCAGGGGTGTACATGTTGCATCATCTACCAGACTATTAAAACACACAAACACATACAATATTGTCAATCTAATCATATATGTACAATAAATCACTTTATATAAATAGTAATCACGTTAAGGCAGACAAAACATTTACATGCACCCAAATTATTATTATCCTTTTGCTGTATCAAAGCTGGTATATTTAAATGTATTAGTGCAACTGCAGACTGAAGAGTTAAGTTTTGTCTGAGTTTTTGGACAGTGCACTGCTTGTTTTTACTGTGAAAGAACTCACTGTTCAGCTATGGAACAATTTTTCAGTTTCAATCTTAGTCAGAGTTTGGATCCAGCAATCGCACTTACTGTAAGAGACCACCTCCATGAATTTCCATCCATCATGCCACACGGATACTTTCTCTGTCCTCAGGGTTTCTTTTGTCACACTCAAGCCGTCCACTAGAAACTCAGTGAAGCATTCAAGTGACCAATGAAATCAGAATCTAAAAATGAAACAGTATTTTTCACAATCGTTTAGGTATAAGAAGTCACACCACTGCAGGATGCCAGCAGACACCTGGCTGAATGTAAGCATGAGGATCATGTTTAACCGCTAAAACCACAGTCTATATCGCTCTGATCTTAACCCTATATAACAGAAGAGAAACAATATGTCCCCACGTTCAGTGGTTTCCCCTGTACTTCTGTCCCTGTGAGGACAGCTGTCTGTCTGAGAAACAAGAAAGCACAAACACACTTGTGCAGTGAAACCCAGATCAAACAAAGACAGAGCATGAGTTGCATCAGACTTCAACAGCCCAGTAACATAAATGCACAACGCAAACATCAGCACTGCTGTCAACGTCACATACAGTGCAGCTATTCTGGCTTTTCCTGTTTTTTTATTTAAATCATCATGCAAAATGTGTGAGTGGCTGACATTTTTTATGGGTTTATCATTTTAGCAGCAGCTGATTTGTATAAACTAAAATGTTTAATTGTGAAGCAAATCTTCACTTACTTGTAGCTCTTTGGCATCAGTTCTTTTTCTTTTTTAACCCACCGTGGGGTAGTTTCATACCATTCAAGCTTGGACTAAATGCTTACAGTAAACAGAGTGGTTACACTCCAGAGACAAATTGGCATCATGCACTTATTTACTGTGTATTGCTGAAGCCAAAGCCTGTCAATCTAGACTTCTGGGTTTGTGCTTTGGCTGCTCTTTATCACTAACTTGGAAACAGACATAAACCCAGACATCAACTACTTATACAGCCAAAATTTATGATGAGTTTGCTTTTTTTTTATTGTCTGCCTAATTGACCCTAAGCCCCGCTGAACCATTTTAATGCTCTGTAAAGTCTACATATCTTTATTAGAATTAGTGAATGACTAAGTGTATACATTTCTGGGGAAGTGTGTGCCTCATGTCTGTGTGGCCAAACAAGTTGCATCAGGTTGAACCAGCCTTGTTCGTTTGCATGTAGTGCGTAAGCAGTGTTTTTCACTGCGCTAGACTCAGACACAGGAAACCACCTGACTTCCCCGGAAAGCAGCGCATCAGATCACACAATAGAGGCATGTTCAACAATCCCACACAGACACACCGCTCTGGATCTGATAACTGTGATGTCTCAATCAAAAAATAAAAGCGAGTTAGAGTGTTGTGCTTTGCCGTGCCCCCAGGTGACTTTGAACAAAAAAAAAAAAACAGACCACATGTGGGGCCGTTTTTCATTTACTTGACAACCAAAGAATGTGTGCAGACTTGATCCTCTAAATGGGGGGAAGTGGCACAATCTGCAAATGATGTGTAAAGAAATGTGCGTTATGTGTGTGTGAGAGAAAATGGAAAATACTTTGAAAGGCCAGGCAAACTGAGCAGAAAGTAATCCTCACCTACAAAAGATTTCTGCCATTTTATACCAGAATCCGCAATAGCCTCCATCGTGCAGCAAAACTTGCAAACTGCACATCAGCACGTTGCTTTTCTGAGTCACACTTGTTAAAAATGTTCCCAGCAGCACCACCTTTATTTCACTCCTTTGGGTGCAGGATGCAGAGTTTGTGAGGAGTAGTGGCAGTTTGAGGTTTCACAGATTATTATCCTCTCTGAGTAATGAGTCATGTCCTCTGCTGCTAACTTGACTGAGAGCTCTTCTAACACATGAATGTCACACAGAGAAATCATGCTTCAACATATGCACGAGGGTGCCTTGTTGAAAACAGAAAAACTACCTGGCCTCAACATTTTGGAAGTTTTGAGATAGAAAATGTCACACATAGAAACCAGACTATGTAGGATACATACCACTTCATGTGAAAATCAAGTTTTGTCACTCTTTTGACATGTCTATAGTTATGTTTCTTATATGCTAGAAGCAGGCTGCAAGGTGGCTCGGTAGTTAGCATTGTTGCCTTGCAGAAAGAGGGTCGCTGATTTGCGTTCACACCCGGGATATTTCTGCGTGGAGTTTGCATATTCTCCCCGTACAGCGTGGGTTCTCTCAAGGTTCCCACAAGGCCCAAAAACATGTTGAGGTTAATTGGTGATTCTAAATTGTCCGTAGATGTGAATGTGAGTGTGTTTGGTTGTCTGTCTCTAAGTGTAGCCCTGTGATAGACTGGTGACCTGTCCAGGGTGTCCCCTGCCTTCACCCTAAGTCGGCTGGGATAGGCTCCAGCCCCCCCTCCGTGACCCTAGTCAGGATTAAGCATAGACTGTATAAAAGATGGACGTAGCAACCCGCCCTGAAAAATGAAGCCAACCCGGAAGTGTCAAAAACCTGCAATATCACTACGTCCAAAAAGCCCTGGCTCCCATAGACTTGAATTGGAAAAGAAGTGATCACAGGTCACGAAATACTGCTTTCCTACAGCTCAGGATTTTTTCTTATTAGTTTTCATAGTCAAATTCAGAGATCAGGTGGCCCATCTGAAAATAAATCAATACTGAATTTTGCGAGGCAAGGAGCGTGGCTGGCTTGATTGACAGTCGGCAGCGATGATACAGACGAAGCGAGCAGAAGGCGGTAAATGTGGACAGGCAAAGAGGGCCTGCCTCTAAATCTCACCTGACCAATCGCTGCTCCTATGGCTCCGCCCCCCCCTCCGACGATTTTTGCATCACTGGCTCCAAAAATCCAAGATGTCAACCAGGAAGTAGCAAAACGCTGACTTCATTTTCTCAGTGCAGAAACCAACGGGTGACGTCACGGTAGCTACGTCCATCTTTTATACAGTCTATGGGATTAAGCGGGATAGGTAGTGGATGGATGGATATGCTAGAAGCCATTTCCACCTTAAAACTGCAGTGACCATCTCAAAAAAAAAAAAAAACAGATTCAGACTGATTCTGAGGTTTCATATGTAGCAAACATAATGAAATAATTGTCATCTTGCAAGGTGGGGCTTTCTGTATCATTGTTCTTTTTTTTAGAATTAGTTTCCCATTCAAATACACGTGGCTGAATTACTCCAATATTACAACTTGCTATTGTGTAGCATGGAGTGGTTTTACAGTGTTTGAACAGAGCTGTAGGTGAGCTGGTGTGCTCGGGCTGCAGCAAGAAGTGGTGGGGACAGAGGCAGAGACCTCATAGATTCACATGTCACAGAGAAAGCAATCATGTAGAATTAAATCTAGGTTATTTTAAGGCATGATGGGATTATTTTTACTGAAAAAAAATCTAAATGTGCAGCTTTGATAGACAGAGCTGACTTATTCGGGACTTAATCAATCACAGGAGAGAGACTTTAGAGGACTTTACTTGAGTGTTTGCATATTACGTTACTTTTGTCTTCTATCAATGAGAAATAAATCACAAGAAATGAGTGTGGCATAACCGAGAGTTATGTTATGAACCACTGGAGTTGACCTCTGGAAAATACTGAACTAAAACTAGTGAACTGTAGTTAAAACCGGCTCCACTAAAAGCAGCTGTAACGATAAAATGTTGCTCATGTCATCTGTAATAAGTTATTTACAGAAGTCATTTTTCAGCAGAATAAATACTTGCGCTTTCACTTAACTAACTTGACGACAATGTAAATCTTATGCAAATTTACGAAATAAAATGTGTCGATCATAGTGTGTAGGTTCTTTTCTTTTTCTGCCTAGAAATCACCGACAAGGTCAGACAACATCATCCAGTAAATCACAATTCAAAAACACGACTGAAACAGTGCATGCAAACTGACAAGTTCCTCTTTTTGCTATGTGACCTCAGACTTGCTAGTGTGGGAAAGAGAACCTTGACCCACAGTCTGATGACAGAGGCATACACTGGTATGTCACATGTCCAACAAGTGCCTGTCAGGGTTTAAGAATGTGCCCACTAATGTTGTGCACATTTGCTTATTTTCTCATTACTGCTCTTTGGACTGTTGTTTTAAAAATTGCAATAGAGGTGAAGTTTGCTTCTAATAATTTTCAACATTTTTGGAAATAATTTGACTTGATTTTTTATGACTTTTATATCGATAGGTTCTGAAACACATTTACCTATATCTATGCCTATACTTATACACTGTTGCCCAAAAAGTTGAAATATATGTGTGTGTGTGTGTGTGTGTGTATATATATATATATATATATAATTTATACACATCAGTAATCACTTTTGATCAGGTTCAGTGATTTCATACTGAGTCCCAGTTATCAGGTAAAATGAATTCTGACTTCGGGATCTGACCGAAGAGTGAGATGCCCTGCTCATTGACACTATCAACAAGCTTTTGGACAGTATGCCACCATGTCTTAACGCATTGATCCATAATACTGGAAATTCTTATGCATGAAATTCCCTCGAATATGTGTTTCCTGTTACATTGACCAAGGTTGAAAAATGAAAAAAAAAGCTAAATCCTGTTGTTCAATACCCCCAATTTTGTTTAAGCCTGAATACACAGGTTGCAAAATTGTGGTTTCATTTTTAATACGATTTGTATTGTATGTATATTGTGATATCAACACAGTTTTTCAAGAATAAATCGCATTGTCACAATCATTTCATGAGATGAGGTAAAAAAATATTTTATTCCAACTTCATGGTGAACAGTGTATTTAAAAACTCTCCTTATTGAGCTGAGATTTTGTCTCCAAAGATACCAGATAGCTTTACTAGTATAAAGCTCACTGTTTGTGTTGTGTGTGTGTGTCTCTGCAGTCTGTGGTGTACTGCCATGGAGGACGGATTGGGTTCTATCAGGGTGACATCCGTCTCCTCCCAGATGACATGAAGGCCCTGCGGCCGACCATTTTCCCTGTGGTGCCTCGACTGCTCAACCGCATGTACGACAAGGTGAGATGAACACATACACAGAGGGCTTTTAAAGAAATGGCTGTTTGCTAGTTTGGCTGGAGATGAAGTGGTTAAGCTTGTTCAGTTTTCTGTGGGTTTCTTCAGAAAACTGGCACTGTTTGGAAACTAACTCCTAGTGTGACACAGGGTCGCACCTGGAAAATTAAATGGGATTGGTTTCTTTATTCGTCATACAAAGATCTTTCTTAGCAGTGTAGCTGTGGTTTAAGCCAGGAGTATTTATGTCTGTAGTTCAAACCCCAAAATTATACCAGAGAGTTCCTAGGAAGTTATTGTGCTTGAGTTGGTGGTGTCTCCTTCCAGAGAATTCAGAGCAAGTCATTGAAATAAATAGTTTCTAACAACTGGATTGAAGCAGGACTGTCTCCAGCCCCCACAACATGTGTGTCATCTTTGTCTCCTGTGCAGATTTTCAGCCAGGCAAACAGCCCATTGAAGCGTTGGCTGCTCAACTTTGCTGCCAAGAGAAAAGGTGCTGAGGTCAGCAGCGGGATCATCCGTAGTGACAGCATCTGGGACAAAATCTTCTTCAGTAAGATTCAGGTAATCGGTGTTTCCCTAAGGCCCTACAATGCCTGTCACATGTGCCACTGAAGACATCTGTTGCGACAGCTGCTGTTATCCTACTGCAACAACAACACTGCAACATATATACTCCTGTAGGCTCAGTGCATTTGGACAAATACCTGGAGACTGTGTGAAAATTTAGGACGATTAAGGTGCAGTTTTTACCTTTAATGACACACTTAGATTAATTCCTGTGCATCTCTAAAGCAAGTTTACAAATTGAAATTACAAACAACAAATTACACATCTCACTACTGCAGCTCTAGAGTGGCACCAGGATTTTTTTTTTTAACCACAACAGCTTTTGTGTGTGTGTTGTTGTAGTACAAATGTTCACTGAAGAAAAAAACAAACTGTCTTTTCAAAAAGACTCACACCTTGCAAGCCTGCAACCAATCTTTTAAATGTGTCAGTATAAATAAGCAGGTGTAAAAGATACATAGCTATAACTGCCGACATGTATCCACTAGTGTGTCTTAAGTATTTCTCTACAACATAGAATATTCCCAAAAGTGTTTATTTACTGAATATTTATTAAGAGTTTTACCCTTTACACAGTTAATCTGCTTCATCGGGACTGTCTGCCATCAGATTCTGATTCAAATGTTACTAAATCCTGAAACTTTCTTTGGTTTCTTACTGTCATACAGAAAATAATGACCCCTCTGTGTTAATAATGTGTTTCTATGTCGTGCAGGCCAGTCTGGGAGGGAGGCTGAGGATGATTATAACAGGAGCGGCTCCTACCTCACCCAGTGTCCTGGGATTCCTCAGAGCAGCTCTGGGATGCCAGGTCAGACCCACACACGTGTTCATACTTCTATGTTTCTTCAACTCAGTCTTAATATCATAATAAATTCTCCAGGCTGGTCTCTAACCATCACAGCCATCAAATGACAACATAAATAAGTTTGTAGTGGGGAACCCGCTGAGAATTATCATCTGAATCTGCAGCTCCATTTGGCTTTACAGAGCTGTACAGTGAGTTCCAGCTGCCTGTTCAGCTCTCCATCCTGCAGTTTTACTATTTTGATTCTCTCCACCGCTCTCATTGTGTGATTCTCCGTCGCAGTCAGTTGTTTTCAAACAAAAAGCTTTAAAACCTAAAAGACCAGTTGGTGAACATAGTGGANTCATGGTGAACAGTGTATTTAAAAACTCTCCTTATTGAGCTGAGATTTTGTCTCCAAAGATACCAGATAGCTTTACTAGTATAAAGCTCACTGTTTGTGTTGTGTGTGTGTGTGTGTCTCTGCAGTCTGTGGTGTACTGCCATGGAGGACGGATTGGGTTCTATCAGGGTGACATCCGTCTCCTCCCAGATGACATGAAGGCCCTGCGGCCGACCATTTTCCCTGTGGTGCCTCGACTGCTCAACCGCATGTACGACAAGGTGAGATGAACACATACACAGAGGGCTTTTAAAGAAATGGCTGTTTGCTAGTTTGGCTGGAGATGAAGTGGTTAAGCTTGTTCAGTTTTCTGTGGGTTTCTTCAGAAAACTGGCACTGTTTGGAAACTAACTCCTAGTGTGACACAGGGTCGCACCTGGAAAATTAAATGGGATTGGTTTCTTTATTCGTCATACAAAGATCTTTCTTAGCAGTGTAGCTGTGGTTTAAGCCAGGAGTATTTATGTCTGTAGTTCAAACCCCAAAATTATACCAGAGAGTTCCTAGGAAGTTATTGTGCTTGAGTTGGTGGTGTCTCCTTCCAGAGAATTCAGAGCAAGTCATTGAAATAAATAGTTTCTAACAACTGGATTGAAGCAGGACTGTCTCCAGCCCCCACAACATGTGTGTCATCTTTGTCTCCTGTGCAGATTTTCAGCCAGGCAAACAGCCCATTGAAGCGTTGGCTGCTCAACTTTGCTGCCAAGAGAAAAGGTGCTGAGGTCAGCAGCGGGATCATCCGTAGTGACAGCATCTGGGACAAAATCTTCTTCAGTAAGATTCAGGTAATCGGTGTTTCCCTAAGGCCCTACAATGCCTGTCACATGTGCCACTGAAGACATCTGTCACGACAGCTGCTGTTATCCTACTGCAACAACAACACTGCAACATATATACTCCTGTAGGCTCAGTGCATTTGGACAAATACCTGGAGACTGTGTGAAAATTTAGGACGATTAAGGTGCAGTTTTTACCTTTAATGACACACTTAGATTAATTCCTGTGTATTTCTAAAGCAAGTTTACAAATTGAAATTACAAACAACAAATTACACATCTCACTACTGCAGCTCTAGAGTGGCACCAGGATTTTTTTTTTTAACCACAACAGCTTTTGTGTGTGTGTTGTTGTAGTACAAATGTTCACTGAAGAAAAAAACAAACTGTCTTTTCAAAAAGACTCACACCTTGCAAGCCTGCAACCAATCTTTTAAATGTGTCAGTATAAATAAGCAGGTGTAAAAGATACATAGCTATAACTGCCTACATGTATCCACTTGTGTGTCTTAAGTATTTCTCTACAACATAGAATATTCCCAAAAGTGTTTATTTACTGAATATTCATTAAGAGTTTTACCCTTTGCACAGTTAATCTGCTTCATCGGGACTGTCTGCCATCAGATTCTGATTCAAATGTTACTAAATCCTGAAACTTTCTTTGGTTTCTTACTGCCATACAGAAAATAATGACCCCTCTGTGTTAATAATGTGTTTCTATGTCGTGCAGGCCAGTCTGGGAGGGAGGCTGAGGATGATTATAACAGGAGCGGCTCCTACCTCACCCAGTGTCCTGGGATTCCTCAGAGCAGCTCTGGGATGCCAGGTCAGACCCACACACGTGTTCATACTTCTATGTTTCTTCAACTCAGTCTTAATATCATAATAAATTCTCCAGGCTGGTCTCTAACCATCACAGCCATCAAATGACAACATAAATAAGTTTGTAGTGGGGAACCCGCTGAGAATTATCATCTGAATCTGCAGCTCCATTTGGCTTTACAGAGCTGTACAGTGAGTTCCAGCTGCCTGTTCAGCTCTCCATCCTGCAGTTTTACTATTTTGATTCTCTCCACCGCTCTCATTGTGTGATTCTCCGTCGCAGTCAGCTGTTTTCAAACAAAAAGCTTTAAAACCTAAAAGACCAGTTGGTGAACATAGTGGAACATTGAACAGCTGAAAAGAAAGATATTTTCCTCAGGAGTGGATGGAAATCAAAAATAGGCAAAAAAAAATGTGGGGATCAGATAAAATGACCTCAATCTCTGGATCTAAAATTAGAATTGGTCTTCGTACAAACTACCAGATTGCAACATGCACATGTGATAGTAAAGTATGTTCTTGACACAGCCCTCATCTCAACTTTGTCTGTGTGTAGGTGTACGAGGCGTATGGCCAGACAGAGTGCACAGCTGGCTGCACCTTCACCACACCTGGAGACTGGACCCCAGGTGAGTGTTTACACAACAGGCCTAGAAAACCTCAGACAGGTCTCCTTAGACTCTGCTCGAATCACCGCACACTACTTGTGTGCAGCAACACAGTTCAAAGGTCTTACAGTGATGAATAAGTCATAATCTTAAGCATGAACAACCCTCACACTTTAAGAGTGTTTAATTGAGGTCACTGTATCTATGGACTTAATAAGTTACTCTTTTGTTTTTTGCACTGCGCTACCATCATCTTTCAAAGCCGAAGCTCAAAACTAGGACAGGCCACTGCAGTGTTGGGGTCAATGCCACTCATAAAATGATGTAACTTCTCAGACACTCAAGCTGTGTCTGCTCTCCTCCAAGTGAATCATTTATGGATTGCACCGAGTGGGGGAAAAAAAATTCAGGGTGAAAGTGAGGGAGAGGCTGTTGTATCCAGTAGTTGTGGGATCAAAAAACGGGAGTGGCCTGGAAGTGTGAGAAAGACAGAAAAGAAAGAGTTTTTAGGCCACATTATTAACAAACATAATGCCTGATTAGGGAGTTTCCAACATCAACAAGTGAATACTAAAAACCAGTAGCTGTCATGCATTTACTCTCTCTGTGTGTTGCATAACTTTGTGTTACTGAACACTGGAGTAAGTTCCCATGTGGTCTATATATATATATACATCAGTTGTATTAGTAATTATAGTTGGATGTGCCGTATCTAGTTTAAATAAACCATGTATTTTAATCACTTTTGTGTCTTAGAGCTCAAAAGCAAGTTAGCATATTAAAAGTGTATGTGTAGGAAGTTGTATCAGTGGAAGGAATGTTGTTGGACCAATTTGGAATCATGACACTTGTACAAATATAGTGCCCTCTTCCTTCCAATGAAAGCTGATTACACAACATACCCAGTGGGGGCGGGTGGGGGGTGGAAGGGCCATAATCAACTGCACAATAGAGTCTGGTGATGAGTCAATAATTGTAAAAGTCAACATTAATACGTGACAAATGTATGTGCTGCACATGTAGCACCAAACATCCATTATGTTTCTTTAAAAGAGGAGTTTCTACTGTGTAAAAATCTGATGGTAGAAAAGTTACTGGCTTTGCACTTAAGAGTAGACAACATTGCTGAAAGTGGGCTTCTACAACTGACTCCAGACAACAGATTTATTCATCTAGGCCTCTTTGACTTTGAATTACTGGATGTTGTTTCTTTTTTGATAAATGGCTGAGCAACCATACAACTTTATCTGCTGATGAAATATTATGAGATGCAGTTTTGAAAAGTACAGTTACTCACCTTAAAACATTTTCTGGAAATTGGAAGCTGTACTCTATTGTCACAATACTTTTTGAGACTGAGGATAAATGAAGCAACACTAAGAAAAGGGTATAGGGGGATACTAATTGCATTACTGCATATCATAAGATACTACAAGGTATCAGACAAATATATAAGAGTGCCTGAACCTGTAGTGGGGCAATAACAACGAACAAAGAACATTCTCTTAGTGGAATCAAAGTAGTAGTCTAGCATCACCCCCTGCTGCTCACTTCTGATATTTCATGAGATATGTGTTAAAATATGCTGATTGTTTTTTTTTTGTTTTTTTTAAATAGACACATAAACCCCCCACATATTAGACTTCATTTGAACGTCATAAATGGTCAATGTTGAGTATTTAATGCAAGAAAATATTCATTTGTAATCCCCCTTGGTGTTTACCAGTGGAACCAAAGTGCAGAGAGAAATGAACTGTTGAAATTGTGAAAAAAAAAAACAAGAAAAAAATGAGTTGTGGAGTTTCTAATGGTTTACTTGTGCTGATCTTTAGGTCACGTTGGGGCTCCGCTGCCATGTAACCTCATCAAACTGGTGGATGTTCCCGAGAAGAACTACTTTGCCTCAAAGGGAGAGGGAGAGGTACGCAAAGTGGTTTCAAAAGGAAGAAATACACACACTGTACATGTTTATATGCAAGAGTATGTGTGTTTTCATCTCAGAGACCAACTGTAAGCTCATTTAAAGTGCTATAACACCCTATTTGACTTAAATTTCTTAAAATACCAGGCAAAGAAACAAGACCAGATATTAGGCATGCAAGAGAGCAACATTTGGCATTATTGCTAGAGCACCTGTACACCACAAATTGACAGACATGATTTATATAAGGGACAACGTATTATCATTGCAGATTTGTAAATACATGTGTTCCATGGGGTTGCGAGTGTATACACTTTACCTCTAACCTCTGTTCATCTAATCTGTCATCCAGGTTTGTGTGAAGGGACCAAACGTGTTCAAGGGCTACCTCAAAGACCCGGAGAGAACGGCAGAGACGCTGGATGCAGACGGCTGGCTCCACACCGGAGACATCGGCAAGTGGTTGCCTGTGAGTACACATTATACCATTGAGTATTTTTTTATTTATTTTTTTAAATTGCATTGTGCTTACATGGGAAGAGTTCTTCCTCTCATTATTACTGTGGTTCATCTTCTCCTGCAGAACGGCACGCTGAAGATCATTGACAGGAAAAAGCACATCTTCAAGTTGGCACAGGGTGAGTACATCTCCCCTGAGAAGATCGAGAACATCTACATTAGGAGCGAACCTGTGGCACAGCTCTATGTTCATGGAGACAGCCTGCAGGTAAGGACACATCCACATACACAGCATCTTAATACCCTGGAAATATTGATAGGAGTAGGTTTCTTGCTCAGATTCTAGCTTTTCAAGGCCTAAATGTAACTCATCACTCCTGAGAGTATATCTGGGCTATGTGTTATTTTCTGTTGCTTTTCAAGTTGGATCAGTACCCTTTTTTTTTTTTAACCTTTCCACAAATGTTTTGTGTGCTTTTCTCAGTCCTGTTTGGTAGGAATTGTGGTTCCTGACCCTGAAGTTATGCCTGAATGGGCCAAGAAGAAAGGCATGTTGGGCACCTACAAGGACCTATGTAAAAACACAGTACGTGGCTGAGAAACTTACCCTTCAGTTAAAACTCCTGGTAAAATATGCTGGAGGTAACAGACGTTTAACAAAGCTAACTCTCTTCTTTTCCTAACAGGAATTAAAGAAGGCAATCCTTGAAGATCTGGTGCGTCTGGGCAAAGCCAGTGGCCTCCACTCTTTTGAGCAGGTCGGTATTTATGTGTAAAACAACAATAGTCTCAAAGCTCTGTGACCATAAAAAGTACACGTCAGCAGTATCTCAAGTAGGATCTGTTTGATCCTGTTGTAATGTGGATATCTGCATCACTCCAGGATTAAGGACTATTGTGTTATAAACAATAAAGTTGAACTAGGATAAATAAAAAGGGTTATTGATGTAGCTTCTTGTGCCCTTGGATAAGCAATGGTTTACCAGATGAATACGATATGAAATACTGTGTATATACACAGGTCCTATTCTTGGTTTTGTGTTATCTACAACAATATTTGCGTACAGTTACACTAACTTGGGATCCTTGTCTGTTATTAACCAAATGTGCTTAGGGGAGGATCTTGGTTTCATTTAACATATTTTCTATTCTTTTCCATTTTCCTTTAAAGGTAAAGAACATTTACATCCACAATGAGATGTTCTCAATTGAAAATGGCCTCCTGACTCCGACGCTAAAGGCCAAGAGGCCGGAGCTGAAGGAATTCTTCAAGGGGAAGATTGACAAGCTCTACAGCAGCATCTCCATGTGAAAGCCGGCGAACCTCATTTTCCTCCGAGCATCCCAACTCTAAGATCTGCTTCGACCAGTGACCTGCAGTGGGACAAAGACGTGTCACCTGAGGCTTAACATGCTTTTGGAGAGCAAACCAAAACTGGCCCAACTGTAGAGGATTTAAAATGCCTAGATAAAAACAAATTAAAGAAAGAAAATGAAATACAATGCACATTGTCATATGTATTTCCTTTTTATTCATGCATTTGAAAGCATACGTTAAAAGGATAATTATTTAATTCAAATAGTTAATAACTGAATAAATTCCTTGATTTGTGACATGAATTTCCACGCCACATTAAAAACGTATCAGCACACTTGCTACAAAGTGGTGCATTTCAGTGTTGTCCAGCAGAGGGCAGCATTCATTTGCCAATATTAAATGCAAAACATTGTCACTGGTTTACATGAGGAAGTATAAGGAAGCTTTTTCTGTTTTTTTTTTTTTTTTTTTAGGTGGAGACACGTGTCAATGCCAAAATGAAAAGCAATCAACTGTCCAATCACTTTGAGGGAATTAATGAAATCGCTTTTTGGGTTGGAACCGCGAGTGGAGCTTATCATAGCTTACATGAGCTAATGGCAGCTTTAGCAAACAAAGGTTTCTTGTGGGCTAGAAAGCTGGAGGTACACGACTACTGACTGTACGTTTAGCTACATCAGATGCCCGCAAGGTTGATAGGTAAAATTGCCTTAATCTCTGAATGTGAGACTACAAGATGAATGAATTTTGGAGTGCATTACATTACTACTGCAGACAGCTGAGAATATCACTCTTGTTCTGACAACACAACAAAGTGCCCATTTCATTAAGAAGAAAAATACCTAATGTGATTGTCATGTTGTACAATTAGGTAATTTATTTAATCATTTCATTTTCAAATGCAATACGCCGCTTTACTTCGATGTATATGCATTGATTTTAATGTGGCATGGAAAATTAATTTCACCATAAAAGACCATTCATTCAGTTATTAAAGACAAAATATGAAATAACTGCTCTTTTAACATTTGTTGTTCGTTTAAATGTCTGTAAATGTATACAACAAGAGGAATACTGTACATATAGGAATGCTTAGTTTGATTAGTTTTAATTTAGGCATTTGAAATCTTCCATACATTGCTACCTGCTGTTCACCTAAACAAATCATACGCTCTTGTCCCCAGCAGCAGAAACTCAGCAGCACATGAGCACTGAGCAGTCCATTTCTACTTCCCGCCACTCTCTTCTCTCCATCCGTTTGAACCTACGAGCCAAACGCAGCCCGACAGTTGTACAAGAGTAACAAAGTCGTACGACAGCAAGTGTGATGTCTTTGTGTATAGTGTAGCTCCAGGAGATGTCTAAATGTGTAATAATGCTGACACTTTGTAGGACAGTAATGGACTTCATCCCCCAGTAGAAAACAGTAGATTTTCATTCAATCAAAAAGCTGCTTACGGCAGTGAAACACCACCCTGATCTGACACAAAGATTAAAGTTATGTCTAACCCAGATATAATGCAAGTAGATGAAAAAAAAAAAAATACATCCTTCTGTTCAAGACCACGATTACTATAACAAGGTTGAGAGAGTAGTAGCTTTTGCCTTTCAAATGATTGCCGTGCACATTCTTCCACGTAGAGCATCTCAATGTCTGAGTCACATCCAAATCACAACTCATGTCACGTATTCACTCGTTCATGAAGTCATCTCTACATGGCTGTGGTCAGAAGTTTAGCGTGCATGCTCCCTGTTTATGTAAAGGACTGGCCCAGTGTAACAGTCATCGAGGCTCACACTTTACAGTTGGTACAATCACAGCGTTCTTTTCACCCATCTTTGCACAAAGAGTATGTCAGGTAAAAGAAAACAAAGGAAATCATGCAAAACCAGGGCTCAGGGCAATGCATGCAGTTTGCCCTGCAATGCTGAGACCATTGGCATTTGACTTGAAAAAGACAAGTATTTCTTTGTGGCCATTAATAGGTTGTTTGCAGCTGCCAACAGCCACAGCTGCCAGCGCTGGGCCTTGTAACTTTAGACAAAGCTGATGATGAATTCCACTCACTGAAGGTAAAAAGAACAAACATCAACTTTTAAACAAAAGAAAACATTTTTTTGAAAGGGTTTACACATAGAAGTAATGTATAAGCTTTTTAAGTTGATTACCGTCCCAAAGCATAAACAATGCGGATGTACATAAATGAGGACAGCTAGATGTAAGCATATTTATTAAATCAATGGTTTGAATGGATTTTTTTTTCTCTCTTTTTGCGTGTAGTGAGATGAATTGTACTTATTTATTTATCTATTCTGCTGTAAAATGGAATCAGCACCATATCCTTGTAATGATTGAGTGCAGCAATAGGGATGAGGGAGGGTGGGGAATAGGACGAGGGCAGTGAAATAAAAGATATTCTGGAATGATTTTAAATGAGTGTCTTATTCATTTTTGTATTGTGTATTCAAAGCTGTTTGCATACTGGTCCTATTTTGAACATCTAGCTGTCAGTACAAGTACAAAACAATTACATTACCCTTTGGACTAGGGGTACTAATACCATAACAGAAAAATACGCCATTGAGGAAACACACAAAAATGACAAATGTTAAATAATACCACCTGCAACTGACATATAAATGATTAGATTGCTGCCTTCATCCAGCAGAGGAAGTTTAAACTACCTGTATAGTTGGACAGAATTGTCCCCTGATTATCAACCTGAGGGTATAAAAGGTCACAAGATTAATCTGATCATGACATGATAAATGAGGCTGTAAAGAAGAAAAAGTAGCAACATAAAAAAATGTATTTACTTCTCGGCCACTTTCTGTTCGTTTGTATTTTTTTGTGTGAAATAGCCAATTGCACACTTTGAACTACACGATGATCAAACAACTTTAGAAAATAGTTTTTAATTTTTTTTCCCAAATTTTAAATCTTAAGAATTTCAAACCAAATGTGTTTAGTCTACTGTTTTTACACTACAGAAATGTCTCTGCTTTCGTATTTTGAATCATAGGTTAACATGATGTAACTCCTGATCACAGGAAACTGAATTTGATGGTAGTATGGAAGGAAACAGTTTACCAGATCAAAAATAGGAATGTGGGTTGGTTTGTTTTTTTTTTTTTCCCGTTTTTTCCCTTTTATTTTCAGTTTCAGTTTATAGCTAACTAGCATTCAAAATGTATTATTATCCACCAAAGAAAACCTAACTTGCTGACTCTATCTAACAATAATAGGATTTTGCTATATTAGCTTTCTGTAGTGCTAGCTGGTTAGCTTGAGTTCTTCACTATTGGAATTTTATGTCAAGTGACAAAAAATAAGTTACAGTAAAGTTCTAATCTTATTTAATTGGAAATAACCAAACCATTGAAAAAAAAAACACACAAAACAACAACAACAAAAGCAAGTAAATTATTTCTAAATGTGTTGTTTAACATTTATGTTAGCTAAAATCAGAGCAACTTTAAACTTAAAGAAGAAAAAACAGCAACACTGTGAAAAACCTAATATTTGTTGTTGACAGAATGTTTTCCTCTCATGCTATGACAGGGACTTTCTTATTCTCCTGTTTATTTAGGCTATATTCATGCAAACCGGAGTCACAAATGTCACAAGGTAAACGAGTTTACCGCATGGCAGTAGTGAGTGGTTAGCAGGGTTACTACTCATGACTCAGGTTTGCAAGAAATAGCGTTTTTGTTTTTTTTTTTAGCGCTGGTATTAATAACATTAGTTGTTTTCTTCACAAAAATCTAGGCCAGCAATGTGAATTTTTTTTTTTTTTGGATTATTTATCAGCGGTTTATTGAGTCTGCAGGTGTGTTTGGTTGCTAAGCAGCGCACAATACGGCAGTAAGCGAGGTGACGTTAAGGACAGTTACCAGACAGTTATCCTCCACTTCTAGGCGTTATTTGGGCGTTTAACAGGTGCATTTCTGAGCTACAGCCATTTGAAAGTTCGGTAGTTAACCCAGGAGGAAGTGTAGATTTGAGCTGGAAATCCGTTTCATTGCAAAATGAATCGATGCAAGCGCAGCGTTAGACTCAGTGGATTAACTAACAAACGAGATACACCCGTGAAACCAGCACTGAGCAGAAGAAACGGTAAGAATGAAACACTCAGAAATAAATCAGAAATTGTCTCTCATTTTAGCTTCTGAATATATTTACCTTAAACTCATTTTAATACAAGCAATTGTTTTGAAGTGGTTTTTCCAATAGGTATAATTTTTTTAAACGCTTAAACGCAGGTAAAACGGTTTCAACCCAACTGTGCAATAAAACTAGTAATCCTGGGTTCACCATGCACCTTTATGCCTATTATTGTAATATACATATATATTGCACGTTCTTTTTTTGTACATTGGCTTCCTGATCATTCTTGAATGTAACATGTGTGAGCTACTGGATACCATGAATTTCCACAAGGAGATGAATATTTGTCTGTCTGTCTGTCTATCTGTTTATCTATCTATCTATCTAAACCATGAGCTGCATCTCGGTAATCTCTACATCCTTGCTTTGAAAACTTTAAGCAATTAGAAGATTTCTGCCCAGCAAGCATTATGAAGCACTTAAAGAAGAACATGAGGTAGATGACATGAATGATCCCACTGTCCAACCAAACAACCCAGAGTGGGTAAGTGTGCTGATTTTAAGACATATTTTATATTTTCCTCCCTTTTATGAGCAACTAACTCAGATGTCTACCAGTGTTTTTCGCAGAGTTACTGTACTGACATACAAAACCATGTTTCCCTATGTGGAAATTCATGGTAAAGGCCATAAGGGCAAATGTTAAGGAGCATTAATGAAGCTGTCAGTGCAGTCATTATATTTCAATGTAAATATCATTTTCTAATTTTTCTATAATTTAAGTTTTCTAATGTTTTTCAAATTTGTTTTGCTGCACTCTCTCCTCACTTTCCATGCTTATCCTATACTTGTACAGGCTGACGTTCGTCCTGTCCACTGCAAATCTGTGTTGCGCTTGAGCATCCCTGCATTCACCAAAAAGCCTGAACACAAAGCCTCCTCGCCCGCCACACCAGCTAATAAAACATCTCGAGTGTCTCAATCAGGTCACCTATACAGTAAGGTGACTGCCAGCCCAGAGGCTTTGAGAGATGATGAAATGCCAAGTGGAGAAGATGAGGACAGAAACGCCATATCTTCTATCATGGAGTCAGACACCACTTTTAACTCGGAGGAGGAGGAAGAGGAAGAAGAAGTAGAAGAAGAAGAAGAAGAAGAAGAAGAAGAGGAGGAGGAGGAGGACTGGTACTCCCTTGGATCTTCCAGCAGCCTTCCCTCCCCAGAGATCTTCAGAAAAGAAACCTATGGTGTGTGTGTGTGTGTGTGTGTGTGTGTGTGTGTGTGTTTTGTATATCCACAACC